AGTAGAGTAATTACAGCATTGGTTAGAGTAAATAGTTTGTAGCATGATTGAAGCTAAATAAATTGAGGAATTATTGTCAGTAATAGTCGAGTATCTGAGGAGACATATTGTATATCAAGCAGTCATAGTCCACGATCAGGATACACCATCATAATCCATCGTTATGATCCACTGCTGCCATCAGGATCCACCATCAGCTACCACCCAGATCATGGTCGACCACTACGATCAGATGCCAGTACGATACAGGATCGGACATTACTATCCAAGTTAGATGCACTGTATGAATGTGTATGTGAAACTGTACTGTTAAGCTCTTTGAGTGGTCATCAGGACTAGAAAAGCACTATATAAATACAGACCATTTGAAGACCATTTAACACAAATAACTCAGAACAGGTAATATAACTCATATTAAAGATTAATCATAGCAAATCTTTTCCTGCCTTTGTTTACTAGTTTATCCTTTCATCACATTAAAAATGTCTACCTTTTCCAGTTTTCTCACCTCTCCATCTCCTCCCTGCTCCTATCCAGCTCTGCTCTAAGTTTGAATTCCCTGTCCCACAAGTTCATCATCTCGGTTTTCTTGACCTCCATCTCATTGGAAGCGTGACTGATGTGCTTGTCCCAGCCAGTCTGAGTTGTTTCTACCTCTTTATGAAGCCTTAAAAAAAACAGAGAACCAAAGAAACAGACACACACACACACACAGACACACACACACACACACCACAGCAAAACAAACATTCTCTAGTTAATGCCAATAAGAAGATGCTTTTCTTTATTTTCTTCTTTTCAACTTTTCTTTTTCTCACCTCTGAATTATCTCATCTTTCTTTTCCATGGCCTTTTGATGGTCTTTCTGTGACAAGTGTACCTGTGCAGTCAAAACCTCCATATTCTCCTGTAATTTGTCAATGCGTCCCTCAGCCTTCTGCATCAGCTCTGTGTGGGTGTGACACTGAGCCTCTAGTTTTGCATTACACTCCTTCAGGGCCAGGAGCACATTCTCATATCTTGAGAGAAACAGTCATACAGTTAGACATTTGGAGAAATATTTACATATTCAGACAGCTTGATTTGGCTTTTGCGCACAAGTGAAATCTTTACTTGCATGTTGTCCATTCTTCAAAAGTATTACATGTATAGTAATTCTCCCCGTTAAGAATTTGGAAAAAAGAAAAACAACACTCTCTCTTTTTTTTTTTTAGTACATTTGTCATTATGGCAACGTGGAGATGGATCAGGAGACCACCTCTAGTACACTAATCACTCCCATGCTTAAATAGCAGAGAAAGCCGCCACAGAGAAAGAGACCGGTGCCACTGACAAAGAGCTGAGCTGCCACTGGACACTGTATTGACATGAGTTGGTCCTGTGCATGAGAGAAGCCAGGAAATACACAGGACAATTTCTGTTTGAGTTACTGAATTTAAGTTTGATATATTGATTTACGTGGTACCAGTGAGCGCCTGTTGTCACAGTCATCATCATTTTTATTGCTGCTACTAGTGCATATCCTATACAAAAAATTACTTAAATTCTGAATTAACAAATTCTTTTTTTTTTTTCTCTATTCATGCTCATTCAGTATTTGCATGTAGCTCTGACTGCTTGAGGACATTGTGTTATTGACCACTCACTTGTTAATGTTGTCCTCCTCCGTATTTTTCAGTTTGGTCTCCATTTGCTTCACCTCATTATTAAGCTCCTTTATCCTGAGACAGAATACAGTCAGCACACTGGAAACACTTGTCCACACACACACACATACAAAGACACACACACACACACACACACACACACACACACACACACACTACATGCCTGTGGTCTTTGACAGCAATGAGGTCTTTGATCTCCTGTTCTTGGTGTTGCAGCTGGGTTTGTATGTACTGACAGAACTCTTCAAATGTTTTGAAAGCCTCTAAAGCCTGCAGTTTTGCCTGGCGGTTAACTTCAGTCTCTTTTGATAGCATCTTTACCTGGACAAGGAACAACACACATGAAGCAACAAAGGTGATGATAACATGTTTTTTAAATGGTGTACAACATAAATAGACTCATTGCTCAAGTCAAACATATATAAATAGTAAGATTCCATCCTCTCTTCACCTTGATACCTTGAGACAGCAACCACATACACATGTCATCCATTTTCAAGTTGAACACATGTTCCTGCTGTTTGAGCTCTCTCTCAAAAGCTGCTCTGATCTCCTGTTTGTCAAAGGAGAGCAACCAGATATATTACAATACGAATAGATTTTAACACTGTTAAATTTATTGTAATATGGTTAATGGTCTGTATTTATATAGCGCTTTTCTAGTCTTGATGACCACTCAAAGCGCTTTTCAGCACAGTAACCAAGTAAATAATTGGTACCACATATGTAGTCATCATTCAGACCATTGCAATTACTGCTAGTCAGTGTGGTTCCAATCATCTGCTTGGTTACTATGCACTGCAGAAATATATTACTTCACTGCTCTCTAACTTACATACTGTCCAACATTTTCTAAAGACAGCAATGACAGGATGATGTGAAGATAAATACTATGTGTCTTAAATGTGTAGGCAAATAGGTTATTTTAAGTAAAAAAAAGTAATGTACCTATGTGAGTTGTCCCAATAGATCTGTAAACTGTAGTGAGTCGGCATACATTGATTATTGTAGACTGACTTTTATTCATGTTAAAATTTACAGGACTGTCTTCTAGGTGGGGGTCATGATGGTATTTGAAGTGATGTGCAGAGGGGTAAAATAACTTAATTGGGGCCATCAGGTGGGCACCCTCCTTCATAGGATTTTTAATGATGGGCCCACAACACCCCCAGAGGGCTCATCTCCGACACCTGGCTTTTCAGGTGTGCCCCCCTCTGCTTTAACTCACTCTACTAATCCTAATGGTGTGGCTGTTATTTTGGGGCCCAGATGGTATCTCTCCTCTTGATCCAGAACTACTGACTAGCCCATTCGGCTTTACTGGAGAAGGCTTTAATGGCTTGCTGTTGGACTTGACCTCAAACTCCCATGTCCTTAAGCAGCCTAGTGACTTGACTTCCCCACAAAACCTCTGCAGCTGACCTCAACTTGGCAGACCCTAGCTTTCCAGCTTTCTGGAGGCTTTTTCAATCGTAGGCCTCCTCCACACCCTCCTACTAGGGTACAGTTAGTTCTATTATATGGACATTGAAGAGAATCAAAGCACCGTGGGCTATGGGCTATGTTTTGCTGCGCACCTGCACTGACAAACTGTACTGCAGGTGTGGGATGGATTGATGGAGGAGGAATAGATGTCTGCCTGGTCTCCAGAGCAGCACTTCAGCACGCATGTGTTTCGCCAGGTGTAATAGTCTTGTGTTAGGCTTGTTTTGCAGCCCACCTGAATAAGGCTTACATTGGCTGAAGAAGGAAAGAGGTGGCATGCAGGGTCTTCTTCATACCACTGGTTTAGGATAATTAGAGATGGTAGGTGGCTCTTATAATGAAGCTGGTTCAATGTGCTTCCATGTCACACAGCTCCTTCCAAGAGAACTTTCTGTCCTTACCCTCTCCGATCGGATCCACTGCCCCAGCTTTGCTTAAGAGATGGCCCTTAGGGTTCCAGACTAACTTTTTTTACTAGCAGCACTGTAGCCCCTTACTGAACATTTTAGGAGTACAAGCAGAAGATTTAGGGGCACACCTTAAATCACCTGCAACGACATACAACACACACATTCATATGTTTTCCTATTTTAACTGTTACTGAAAAATGTTTTGTAATCAATAGACAATTTACCAAATAATAACCACAACAATATAAGTAAATAAGGAACTTTAGAGCATATTCCCCTGAGGACCGCTTAGGCCTGGCACCTCTGAAGGCCAACCCTTGTTGGGCCTTCTAGCTCTTTTGCCCTGACTGAACCACATCTGTACAGCCTCCTTGATATCAACCTCCTCCAAGCTAGTTCCTTCAAGACTTATTCTAATCAGGTCCTCCACTGTGTCCGCATACTGTGGCATCAGATTCAAAATGCACAAAATGTTTAAGACTGGTGTTTAAACGCACCCTCATTAACTTTGGAGCGAATCAAATAAACACAATGTAAACTTTATGTATTGATCAGGTCCTAATAACTTGTGATAAATATTGGTGTTTATTAGTTAAAGTCAACGCAGGTCAGCAGGAGTGTGGAGGGAGGATACAGGAAACACCAGCAGTGTTCAAACCAACTGTTGCTTTTGTCTGATCATTGTGTGTGAGTGAGTGGGGGCGAGGCCCCAGGGCCTCTATTTGTGTGTATAGACTCCACTCAGCACACACAATATGTTTCGCTCACTGCTGTTATGTACGGAAAGCCTATACAATCATGATTTTTTTTAAAAATGGGGGGCATGCAAGTCGCAGTGGCGTGACTACTTATAAAATTTAGTTGTGCTGTCTTCAAAAATAGTTGCAAAATGCAACTTAATGGTTGCAGTCTGGAGCCCTGGGCCTTTGCACCTCCTCAACCACAAGACCCCAGCTTTGTAATGGGGTTGCTTTGTAGCAGGGTGGACTGTTCTCTCCAAGGCCAAGGCGTCCTCTCACTGTACATGGCCAACAATGTCCTAGAACATCACACACCCATGCATACGGTGCATCTATGTGCAGCACTTTTTCTATGCATATGCAACGCATAGCTATATGTCCTGGAAGTAGGATTTGACAAGAGCCGTTATATGGAGATCTCGTCCATCCTTTTGGTGGCTTTTTGATTTGTTGCCAGATCATGTTTGCATGCTCCAAACACCCAGAGAAACCAGGGATCTCTGCTTTCTGTACATTCAGTATCAGTTCTTCTCTAGATAGACTGCCAGCTACTTAAGCAGATTCATATATCCAGCTTTCAAGAGTATTCCTTTTTAACTCGTTAACTGGTTAGCTGATTGTGACTGTCCTCTATGTTTTAACTTATATAGAGATTCCTTCGATGAGTGGGATAACAGAAAACATACACCTGCATTTTGCTTCACCATGAAACTTTCTCTAAATTCCATTATGCATGCATCATTTTGATTAGTGACATACTGCCAGAAAAAAAAATTGTATTTCATACCTTTTGAATCATCTTTAATCTTGCTAGTAAGTCTAAACAGACATCACACAAAAAATTCAGACATACCAAAAGGTTTTAGATCCATGACATAATAAACATGGAAACATTTCTTAAACCAAGGTTTATAGAGAATAACATCATGGATTTAAGACATGCAACTCCAAAGTGAGCCAGAGAAGATGCTATGCCATCCCCCACTCCCCATTACATAGCATTTTTTCTACAAGGTAAAAGCATATGTTTGCTTTATTGCGGCAATGCTTTATACCAGGCGGAATTATAGAGCTCTTATTTTAAAACTATGAACTTGGTTCTGACGATTGTGTTGATTGCTTAAAGGGATAGTTCACAGAAAAATTTAAATTCACTCATTGGTGGGGTGGATGAAATGTTTAAAGCCACAAAACACTTTTGGAGTCTCAGGGGTAAGCAGTGTTGCAGCCAAATCCAATACAATTAAACAGTAGTAAAAGTAAATGGAACACCTTCTTCGTACGTAATTTAAAAAAAAAATCATGCTTCCATACTGCTCATTTAGTGTCATCCAAGTGTCTGCAAGCCATCACATTCATATATTCAACTCGAAACAACATCACATCATTTACACTATGTTTTTAGCCTAAAAGACGCATTCTCACTGACTTTTCGAAACAATGCACCGTGGAGGACAAATGTCCCAGATCTGATCGGCATTTGAATGTCCAGAAACCCCGACCAGCAACAAATACATTGCATTTTATACACAGTGTGTACGCACATCTACTGCCTAGGAAGCATTACTCAATGAAAACAATTGCTGACCATTCTTGTACTCTTTGGGCCTCTGGAAGGGGAGGGTGAGGTGAGGGGTATTTAGCTGCAACATGTACCTTTAAAACCCAATTATGCCATTTTAACGAAGATTCTGACACTCAATTATGTTTTTTTATGTGGGATTTGTTTTTATGTAAGAACAGAATCTACTTACACTCAAGAACACTCTAATGCATATTTGCCTACTGACATTGTGAAAAACAATGAATTATTGTGTTTTCTTTAACTCTACAGTTGTATGAAAGGATTTTAACTATCTTAAAATGCTAATTAATAATATGTTGAAGATGAGAACTTAATGAGTCACTCATTGACTCTTCACAACACTTAATGACTCTTCTTAATGACTCAATTAATCACTCTTTATAAAACTTCACGAAACTTCACGGCACTTCATCACTCTTCTTAATGTCTCACTAAATGACAATTCAGAATCAGAATCGCTTTTATTGCCAGGTATGTGAATACACAAGAGGAATTTGACTCCGGTTTTCCTTTGTTCTCTTAGTACAACAGTTTAAAAAAACAACAAACAAACATAGAGATGAACAAGAACAAAAGACAATAACAAATGCTATGTACATGTACGAAAAGGTAAATAGTTGGTGCAATAATGGTGCATAGTGCAAGGATGAAATAATAAATATACATATACAGTTTGTACAGTATATTCTATGTACAGATATATTACAGGTGATGATTCTGATATTTGAGCCCGGTTTTAGCTGTTTGACACAGAGAAACCCTAAGGGAAAAAGCTGTTCTTATAATGGGATGTTTCGGCGTAGTGTTCTGTAGCGTCTACCAGAGGGGAGAAGTTTAAACAGTTTGTATCCAGGGTGTGATGGGTCTGCAGAGATGTTGCCTGCCCGTTTCCTGACTCTGGTCAGGTACAGGTCCTGGATGGAGGGCAGGCTGACCCCAATAATTTTCTCTGCAGTCCTTATTGTCCATTGCAGTCTGTTCTTTTCCTGTTTTGTGGCTGATCCAAACCAAACAGTGATTGAGGAGCAGAGAACAGACTGAATGATGGCAGAGTAGAATTGTGACAGCAGCTCCTTAGGCAGGTTGAGCTTCCTGAGCTGGCGCAGGAAGTACAACCTCTGCTGGGCCTTTTTGATGATGGTGACTGTTTTGGTCTCCCACTTCAGGTCCGGGAGATTGTGGAGCCCAGAAACTTGAAGTTTTCAACAGCAGTCACAGAGTTGTTGGTGATGGTGATGGGCGGCAGAGTGGGGGGCGTCTCCTAAAGTCCACTGTCATCTCCACAGTTTTGAGCGTGTTCAGCTCCAGATTGTTCTGACCACACAAGCAGACC